GTTTCTGATTGATGTTGTTTTATTGTCATGACAACACACTTAATAGAGGGAGTTTCTGCATCTCTCTTTATTGTTGTTCCAGGATATTCTCATGAGCTGACTTCAAGGAATTAAGCCTTTTTAGTTTTAAAAATGGACCTACATTATTGAATTCTCTGAATGGGTGGAATCGATTTATTGAACAATTCATTTTAGCCCAACATTCATTTAAACTGAATTTGAGTGATCAGTCAAAAGGAATTTGTCAGAGAAGTATAAAATTATTATGTGTGTGACATAGACAGTCATCAGAACAGCCGTTTGAACACGGACATCAGCAGTTATGTCAGCTGCTTACAGTGGGCTCCGCTTTCTGACATGTCCTCGCGCTGGGAGCTATCTTCGGTTAGTATTTTCCAGCCAAGGTAATAAAAAAACCGGTATTGTTGAAATGTTTTTTCTTTCCCATGCAGTCCACTGAACTGAAAGCTGTCATAACAACAGGAGCTGTTCACTGACACTGACTATTAGTCGCACCTTCGGGGTTACTATGATTGAGTTGTCTTTTTAAAGAGAAGAAAACGTTTTGGCAACATCCGTACTAGAAAACTTTGTTGATACAACAATACAACACAGTTTCTTTCTGGCCTTATCTTTGTTTTTAAGCTCCATGATTGTACATTTCAAGCCTTATTTGTGGAACATTATAAAGGCTCCCTGGTTTATTTCATAGCGTGTTCCAAAGGAAGCAATGAAGAACAGATGTATCTCCTTCTCCGTTTGCCTGCTCTCTTGCTTCGTATTCAGGGTTTAATGTTGAATCCGTTTTCGCGTAGTAACGGTTAACAGATGAAAAAAAGAGACCTCCTCTTTAAAGTTTTTCTGCCTTCCAGTTTCTATTCCAGGAGTACCGTAGTTTGTGTTCTAACTTCAATATGAGTCTTCCTGGTCTTACCGACAAATAGCAAACAATTAAGAACTTTTAGAACATTTTTAAATATGTTTAGCTATTAAACTTTGCCCTAGCTGACGTATGAAATTTGGCAACTAAAGCTGAGGTAGATGCAAACCCAAAACAACAATAACTTTAAATGCAGCCATAAAGCTAGTGTAACTCATAGGTTGCTTCAGATTTGTTTTCTTTGCAGTCAATTAGTTTGTTACTGTCTGTGTTGGATCGCTCTAAGCTAAATCCTGGTAAAAAATATCTATTCGCAGAGATTCCTGTGTGACTGGCTTGTGAGAATCTGGTTTTCTCTGTCTGACATCAGGCACCGTAACTTTTTTAAGACAAACATCAAACAACTGAATAGAACCCATTAGTTTTCATATGTAGCCTTTGAATAGAACATGTGGGTTTCCCTGTCCGTCATTGAGGAAATGGATGGGAATGTGGAACTTAACATCTAAAAACAAAACAACACTGCACATCAGAGAAAAGGTCCTTTTTATCTGCCTTTCTGTTTGCAGATCCTGTTCCTTTGGTATCGATACAAGATAATAATTTATTAGCACATGGAAAGACCACCATTGGTGAATTTGGAATCCCCCCCAAAACCCCAAACCCGCCCAAAAAAAAAAAAAAAAAAACCCCTGACTAAAAATAATCAATCTTCAGATGTAAAGGGGTTGAGGTTGAATATAAACAATGTGTTCCTTTGTGCTTTATTGGTGGATATGGAGTTTAACACCCCCGTTCTGTCGACATCAGCATTTAACAACGCAGTAAGACGCATGAAAAAGGTTTTACAAGACAACAAATTTTGTCTTTGTTGAAAAATAAATGAAGGATGAGAATAAAAAATGTATAATTTAGTTTGACCCACCATGTCATTTGAAACAGCATTTAGCAATAACAAAATCAGAAACAAAAAAGATCAGTACAAAGCCTTTTCATGGTAAAAATGATTGATATGAGTTTGGTGTGTGTGTTGTGTGTGTGTGTGTGGTGTGTGTGTGTGTGTGTGTGTGTGTGTTGGTGTGTGTGTGTGTGTGTGTGTTTGTGTGTGTGTGTGTGTGTGTGTGTGTGTGTGTGTCTGTGTGTGTGTGCTGTGTGGTGTGTGTGGTTGGTGTGTGTGTGTGTGTGTGTGTGTGTGTGTGTGTGTGTGTGGTGTGTGTGTGTGTTGTGTGTGTGTTCGGATGCGTGGTGTTGTTTGGATGCGTGTGTGTTGGATGATACATGTTCTGTGTGTGGTGAGCGATGGGAGAAGTTAGTGGAGTGGGTTATTTGTGTGTAATCATGTACGTCAGGCCCGTAATGAATGGTGGGTGGTTTTGAGACAGAGCGGAGTGTGGAGTTCCTCGGCTGGACCCAAAATTGAAAAGAAAAACAAACATTCCCTAGGAACCCCCGCACTCCATAACCTCCCGTCTACCGGCTAGTGGCGCAGATCCTAACCTGTCTGGACAATGTAACGGTCCTATAGTTCGGACCGACCACACCATTTCGTGTAGGGGGGGTCCTGACCAAAGGGGGGGCGGGGAGGGTGGCTGTTGAATGGGGAGAGGGAGCTGGCAGGGGGGGGGGGGGAGATCTCAGCATAATGACAGTTGGTAAAACAGACAGAAGAAGCATAAGAAAATGACAGAGCTCAGTGATGGATGGATGGGAAAGATGCGTGATGGAGGAGAGGAAACATGAGACGCAGAGTTAAACGTTGATGGACATGCGATGTGGAAATGAGGGTTGTAACAGTGAGAGCGACGGGGAATGAAAAAAAAAGAGAAGTCATTGTGGAGAAAATAAAGAAAAAGGAGGATAAGGAGAAAAACAGAGGGGCAGGGAAAGAGTGATTGAGCAAATGAGTAAGCAGCAGCTCCACTGAGTCAGAGCTCCACGGGGAAAATATGTAGTCACACTCACTCTTTAAGAAAAAGAAAACTTCTCTCCCTTGTTTTATTCCTGTTGTGAGTACTACTAATGAGTAAGTCCCCTCCAGTTGTTCTTTTTCTTTCTTTGGTTATCGAAGAAAGCTTTGCTGCTTTCTCTCAGCTGCTAATGCTCAACAGCTAATGCTATTATGTGGTTCAATCCTGTAATAACCGGAAGCATGTGTTGTGTGATCAGTAGCAACACATCATAATGAAGGAGTATGATCTTTGTGTGTTTCTGTGTCTGCATGCAGTGCGTTGGCTATCATGTATGTTCTTTAAAGCAGTGAAATATCAGATGCTCTCACAAAAACTGTTTTAACATATTGTTTCAAGATGGGAGAAACTTTTTTTACACGAGTCATAATTCCACAAATGACTCATCATTTGCCTTACTTTGATAGCCAGTCATCGTGTTTTTGTCTTTTCCTTTAAAATAGCACATAATAAAATATGTACACAGTCAAATGGCTGGTAAGCTTCATTTTCTATCGTACCAACTAGAGAACTGCATGTTGAGGACCACACTGGAGCAGGTCAACCACTTAAAAGGTATCCTGGGAAATTAAGAACAACAGCCCTTAATTTGGCTTTATGTCAGCTCTTTTCTTTGCTTGTTTTCTTTATGTTTAGAGCCAATAAGCAATAGAGCTACTTTAAGTAAAAAAATATAAAAATGCACAGTTCTCTTAAATTCTAAGAAAATGTGTTTTAATATGCAAAGTTTCAGAATAACAAAGAAGACAAAACAGTGGCTTTATTAGCATGGAAGAAACAAGTTCCAAATATAGACTGCTCTGATTTATGTGTGTATGCCTGTGTGTGTGTGTGTGTGTGTGTGCGTGCGTATGCCTGTGTGTGTGTGTGTGTGTGTGTGTGTGTGTGTGTGTGTGTGTGTGCGTGCGTATGCCTGTGTATGGATTTCTTTCTGTTACACACCTACATGCGCACACACACTAGTGAGACTGACCCGAGGAAACGGCTTGTGTAAGTACAGACTCAGATTTAGATTTGCGGTGAGAGGCAGAAAGAAGCAAGATGGATGGAAAGAAGAAGGGGTGGCACACACACAGAGAGAGAGAGAGGAGTGGTACAGGCAGAGAGGGTGGGGTGATTTTGTGGTTGGGGCAACAAAAGGGGGAACTGAGAACTGGAGTCTGACATTTAACACTAGAATTACCAAATAAAGAAAATCAAATTGTCAACGGTCACAGCCTCTGGGTATTTGATACCTGAACTTTTTTTTTATAACAATTCTTGAACATTTCTCATTGATGACTGCTTTGTTCCGATCCATGAGGCAATCAATATTGAAGAACCATGAATAATTACTAACAAAATGCAGAGAAAGATAGAAAATGAATGCTGCTGCTGTTACCACAGACTCTTAATTGTTTTCTCGTGTGAATTAATTCCTTGTGGTATTATTATTGTCAACAATTTACTTGTGCTTACATTGCACTTAATACAACATTTGAAGTATTTTTAGCTGACCGAGATGGTTTCCACTACCAGAGTATTTGTTTTATAGATACTTGCTCTTAGAATGAACAAAAGTCTATAATGTTCCCACCCTTTAACACGCAGACACAGCCTTGCTGTAAAGAGGCATTTGATATTAATTGAACTTCCTTGTGTGTGACCTTGCTCTCATGTTTAAAAAAAAAAAAAAGACAGATGGTTAGCAGCTTTCGAACACATTCCTTTTGTTAATTGCAGATTTTAGAGAAAAGAATCAAGGAAAATGAGGTTTCCTTATTTGAAAAAGGACGGTTGTGCTTTCCCTTGTCAATGACTCACATGTTTTGTTAGTTTTACAATACATAATCAGTGGCTTGGTTTTATCCCGGGGCCTTTAAGCAATCTTCACATGTGAAGGGCGTTGTCAGCTGTCAGCTATGGTGATAAAACAAAATTGGTACAATTAGAGACTTTGACTGGCTGGGGTCTCGACAGGGCACGACATATTTTTTCTATGCATTGTGTACCTTTGATCTGTCAGTCAATTTGGATGTCTTAACTGTGGACAAAATTGTTTCCCGTACACGTAAAACATGGAGAAAATGTGTGAAGCCTGGCTCAGGTATGATTCTGTTAACTGTGCCGATGTGCTTGTTCCTAACTTTATCTGTCATTCTGTCATTCCCCAGGTTGTGAAGGGGACGCTGGACTCTGACAACCGTGACTGAGGGTTCAAACCAGATCCATAAGAAAAAGAAAAAAAAGAGCGGACAGCAAAAACCTACACAGTCCTCCCTAAACGGATCTACTTGATCAGACTCAAAGCTGTGTTGCCCAGCTGTTGAGCATAAGAGGAGCCACAGCCCCGCAGCAAAGGTAGCCGCTGCTACGTGGAGTGTAAGACCTTCCTAAACAAAAGTCAAAGAAGCTGAAAAGTGTTTGCTCTGATGTTCACGGACCTGTGTGGAGTTCGGTGGACCTGATAGAGAGATGGAGGGTTATTAGTTGGGCCTGCCGCCTGGTTTCTGCTTCTTATTATCGTGTGGAGTACAGAGGGCCAGTAGCCGGACTGTTGGACGGACCGAGCCGCTTCCTCAGAGCTGATGCCAAGGCCAGGAGTCCGCCATGATGTTTTTATAACCTGATGATCAGCAGAGGTAAGACAAAAAGATTGAAATCCAGTTTGTGTGAATCACTCAATGTTATTTACGATATATCCTTTCCATCTCAAATCATTTGTAGAACTTTATTATTTAACATTTATTAATACAGTTACTGTATATTGAATTCAAAATAATGCATAATTTACCATCGTATATTTCTATACATCACATTAATGCTTCAGTCAAATTCAGTAATTTGGGTGGTTATTACATAAAAAATATATTTGATTCATGGTCATTCATTTATATTATCAGATTTTTCTTAGATTCGTAGGTCACGAGTAATTTATTTTAAAAAATGATTTATTTCTGTAAAATCAATAAAATGATCAAGCATAAACATTAATGTTAATTTTTAGAATTTATTTTCTGATTAATGTAGATTAAATAATAAATTACAACTTTACCTACTATTGTTTTCTTTGACAATATGGATATGTTTGTGGTTGGTTTCTACTTATTTTTTTAGTGTGTGCTTAGTTGAGTGTTTTTTGTTTTTGTTTAGTTATAGTGAGTCATGACTTTGAATAAATAATAAATAATAAATAAACACAAAACACCATGCCTCATTTGTTGAGATGAAAAAAGCATCTCTTCCGTTCAAGACTCCACCGTCTCGTGCTGCTCGGCAGAACAGCGTTATTTCCTTGAGCTAGAATGGGTACGGGGGGTAATTTACTGAGACTAAACAACTGCTGATATAATGGCGTTTATGCAGAGCAACGGTTCTGTGACAAGCATTATGAAAAGCTGCTTTTAGTCATCACTGTCGGAGGAAGTGACTGTGTGTTAGCTGCTGTTCTTGTGAGGGTGGAAAACAGTTTGCATGATTATTATCCAGTGAAGAATGACTTTGACATTATGGAGCAATTGACTCCGAGCCAAACATTACCTGCTCGTCCATCGTGCTTAATTCGCTGCACCCCGGTTCAGTAAACCTCATTAGGGACAGAGCTCATTAGATCCCTACACTCTGTAAAGTTTAGTGCTACAACTTGGTCAGCTGTTTTAATTGGTAGGGTAGGATCACATGCACATAAAGCAAAAATATGTAAGTAATTGTTAGCAGCCGTGTCTTGCTAAGTGAACCTCTCTAGCATAACTGTATTTATTTCCCCTTGCAAAAACTTTAAATTGTACCTGCAGGGGTAGTCATGTGGATAAATACCAGAGGTGTGAACCTACCTGATTGGAAATGGTGATTTTGAGCCTGCAATTACAGCATGGTGACGTAAAACTAGAAGCTTTTTGTGGCCCGCAATCAAATGTAGAGCTTTATTTTAACTGAGAAGAAATCAATCTTTTCACGACAACTTAAGTGTTGGAAGTGAACAGGCCCGGTGTTTCTGTTGCTGCATGCATTCTAAACAGTTTTAAGTGCTACAGGAAATGCAAATACATACAGTAGAGGAGGCTATTATGTAAGTGTGTGCACAAAGCTGCTGTGGTTTGTGGTGTAGAGTACATTCTAACTATAGCTGTGTGAATATTCAATGTGCCTGTGGAAATATTGTATACCTCATACAAGCTACCTATATTTGTATGCGTAATGCAAGCTATTCTGTATATGGAGTCATTTACTCTTTTGCTGGATCAGGTATATATATACACTAAAGTTGCGCATTCAAGCCACACACACACCCGCCAAGACACACACACACACACCCGCACACACACACACACACACACACACACACACACACACACACACACACACACACACACACACACACACACACACACACACACACACACACACACACACAATTTGTTTGTGACTGGTTCAATTTTTTCCCTCTGTCATCAGTTGTCCATGTGCACAACTGCTGCGTTATCCTCCTGCACCTGTGTCACCACACACACTGAAGTGCTCTCCGTCTGTTTCCTTTCTTTTTCTCACACACACACAAACACGGTCTTTTTGTTCTTGCTGTCTCTGCACTTTTCATTATGAACTGCTTCTGCCGAAAATAAATTGTGAAACTGTCCACTTATCATGCATAGTAACTGGCGTATTGTTTCTTGGAGGAGATTGTTTGGACGCTGTTTAGAAAAATATATTTATTTCAGCGTATTTGAAAAAATAAAGAAATGTATACTAATTCATTTTGGGATGGTGGCAGAAGAGGAGAATTATTATTATCTCTATATGTAAAAGAACCTTTTCGGCCATTAGGAATACGTTGGAATTTCTTGTGTCAATTGAACAAACTCTTTAAGATTAATTACAAGAAGCTTCATTTGCTTACTTTTATTTGTGCTCATTATCATGATCACTCCATGGTAACAGTCTGTTTCTTCAAAGCTGCCTTTATTTGAGTCTTTTTGGATGTCTGTTATCGTAGAGTTTTTCTTTACAAATGAGTGCAAGCTTGAGTATATGGTCCAGCGTATGTTGTAAATATGAGTGCGGGAATATATGTGTGTGTTTGTATGTGTGTGTGTTTATGTATGTTTTTCATTATGTGGTGTGGTGGCTTTGCTTGGTGATGCTGTTCGGCAGGGCGGATTGCTTTGAGCTGCTTGATTCTTTTAGCTGTGGTCTGTGTGTGTGTGTGTGTGTGTGTGTGTGTGTGTGTGTCCAACTGTGTCTATGCATGTGTGTCCCATGTTTGCATGCCTTCAGCTGTGTATATACACATGTGTGTGAATGCAGGCTTGTATGTACCGGTATATGTGTGTGTTGTGGTTCTACGTAGTCTTTGATGTGCTAGTACAAGGGCAGATTTTCTTTCAGAGTATTTGAAAACTGAGGAATGTTGAGTAGAGACAATTCAGTCAGGCCCACAAGCAAGTTTAACTCAAATGCTAAACAACACAAACACACACACATTACTCAAACAATCCGGAGTTTAGATGTGATGTGATCTAGTGCCCCACAAATGAGTTTAGCTCCTCTGAGAAAGTGAATCCATATGTGTTCTTCTTTCTTTTCTGTTAGTAGATGTTGTGTTTTCTTTCTTTATTCTTCTCAATGTCTTTCTTCCAGTGTTGCGCTGAATCTTCCTGTCACACAGTTACGTCACAGTTAAACATGGTTCAGTGGAAAATGTGTCATTTTGCGTTCAGTGTATGTAAGAGTATGTATGAACAACCTGTTGACCGATTTTGTGCAAATGGTTTCATATTGTGTGTCTAATGACTGAGCTCATCTTACTTACAAATTTACAACAGGATGTACCGCTATTAGCACACACACACACACACACACACACACACACACACACACACACACACACACACACACACACACACACACAGCAGGTCTCTTCTCTTTGTCCCCCAAATCCAAAACAACGATTTATTCTAATTAATTCCAATTAAGGCTTATTAATTAGGCCGACAAAGATTAATAAAGGAGGTGTCACAAGCTGTCATGGCAATTAATGACTTAATTTTCTGGTTTGTTAATGATCCACTTGTTTAAAGGGCATAGAATCAATCAAAGATCAGAGTGACTGGTGTGTGTTTGTGGCTCTGTATTGTTTTCTGTGAGGTGCCAAAAAAGTGAAAGTATGACTTTGAGACAGCAGACATTGTTGTGTAGTTACTCTTTCAGTTTTCTCAAGCAAGTATATGAGCAACCACCTTCCAAATCGTCCATTTGGTTTACACCCAACAGAGTTCCCATGCTTTCAGCAGCCAAAGAAAGAGTTGTTGACCTTTAACAACAAACAGCAGCAGTGCGTCATGTTCCTCACTTAATGTGTTTTGGCCCTCATCTTTAGTGGAAAGATGAAAGTGTAGCGTCAGACTTGAAATGGTTCAAATGTTGTATAACATGCAAAAAAGGTCAATTGGCTTATTTCAAACCAGTGACATTGCAGCTATGTGAGATGCAAGGTAACTCCTCAGTTGCAGAGGTGTTATGTGTTTGGCACATTTGTAATTGTTGTCGTATGTTAGTACTTAGTAGAACAAATCCCTAATAAAGTTGTCCCTCAATGTTGAGAAGTTAATGCTAGTAGTAACATTTGCCCCACCCAACAACGTCTTTACCTCAGCAGACTCATGCCAAATTCATGTTGAATGACTTTACCTTGGTCCATGTCCATGGGGCGCCTATGTCCCAAAGCTTTCTACAGTAATACTAATTGGAGCTCATTCTTTAAGTTTACAGCCGCAAACTTTGTCAAATCTGGCAACCATATATGGAGCAGGCCTGCTTCATATTTAGATGGAACAGTCAACTAAGTGTTGGACTGTATGCGCAGACACTCAGCAAAGTCCACCAAACTTGGCTTCTGATTTGCTCTGTGATTTATATTCAGTCTGTATAATGTTGCAGGGGCTTGTTAGCCAATATTAGCCTCCAGCTGTCATATAGTATAGCCAGATTTATTAAGGGCACCACACTAATGAAGGAAAATTGTAAATACCACACAATTTCTGTCCAGACCCATTGTAAATGAAATAGGTGTTAAAAAGTAGTGGTTATATTTGATTTAAAACCTAACATTAACTGCATGTTAGTTTTTGCTATGGCTGACTAAGGCTCACTGTAGGCAAACTGTGGGAAACCATATTGAGCCTTAGTGCTGCGTCCCTTTTTAAAGCAGCAGACATTTTTATTGATACGTTTTCGGAACTCTGGAATTCACTCTTTTCTCTTGATGACCTGTTCAGTTTGTCCGTGGGGACAACTTTACAAAGCCAAAAGTCACTGGCATTTGTTGGCCACAAATTTTCCACCACAGGTTTCAGGGATGCTTCTTTGTCCAGCATTTACGACGAAAATCCATTAACCAGATTAACAAAGGTAACAGGGCAAACCAGTGGCAATGGACCCAATCTAGTTTTTCTGAACCTCTTCAATTTGGTATTTTTCTCTGTCTGTTTTTCACAGAGTTAGGGTTACAATCCATTAATCAGGTTATGTTAACAAATTACCACATAGCAAGAGGGAGAACAGAGCCAGGTACATGTACAGAATTATACTACAAGCCTGGGTGTGCGTGCGTGTGTCTCTCTGTGTAGTCTATGTGTACAATACT